CGCAATGCAAAAATTTTTCAGAAACTCTTCATTAATCATTTATATTACTTCTTCATTTGATTTTATTAGTTTATTTTCAAAGTTTGATAGTACTGGTAGCCAATTTTTTGAATTTTTAGATTGAGAAAACTACTATTGGTGTTAAATAGATCTACATTGAATTAGCACGGCATTTCTTCATTTCATAACGATTACTTTTATACTATAATTGATAAAATGAAACCCACTGTCTTAATACTTCGTTTTACTGTAGCCGGGTATAGTTGATATATTTGTGTGTTAATTAATAATAGCAACTTGGCTTAAATCTTTTATTACTTGTATCGAAGGATGTGAAATAAATATCCTATTATGTGTGGGTAAGTATTTTTCTGCTAGCATGATCGAATGTTTTGGTTGTGAATTCATAGTATTTTGACGTGAGAAATATTGCCATCTCACTAGGAAATCTACTATATGCATATAACATATGGACTTTAAATGTGCAAAACCTTTCTACAGAATCTACGTTAATATTATAATTGAAGATAACAGGACCACTTGTACCCGGCTATGTTTTAAAAAGGCTACTCTGACCATACGATTAATAGCTTAATGGCAATGCATAATAATAAATAGCGATTATACGAATATTACTCATTTTCTAAACTAGATTTTAACGAAACCATAATTAGAAAATCAGCTTATTATAGTTACCATAGATTCTATGCTACTATCCCTAAATAATATTGATTTTACTTTGCAGCTTTTTAACTAAACTACTTATTCAGTAAATGAGTAAGAAGATTTGTTTTTTTCTACATAAAAAATTAAACAAAGCTAATAGAATCATAGTTCGAATGAAATTCCATACAAATTCATCTTCTTATATATTGTACACTGAACAGTATATTGATCGAATAAACGTAATAATACTGTAAAGTTTATTCGCTTATTATATAATCTGATTGCAATTAGATAGTCCTTGGTAGTTGTAAGATGAACCTAATCTTATGTAATGAAGTGAAGTTTACAAGAAACAGCAGTTCTTGTTATATTTTTAAGAAGACACTCTATCACATACGGTAAGATAAATTATTTAGGATATAAACCGAACTTATATAAAATATCAAATAAAACTATTACTGTATTGTAAACGTCAGCAGTGAATTTTTCACACACACGTTAACAAAACTTCCAGTAAAATTAAGAGTTTCATCATGTATTGAAAACTTAGAAAGTCAATGAACATTGATAAAACACGACAAATTATATGATAAGCACGTTTGATAGAAGCATTACGTTAGATGAGAGACTGGCAATACTATTTCATAAAATTTGCCTCTAACGAGATAAAACCGTATTACTTCAAATCTTATACTGATTTTATTTCCAAGCAATTGGGACAGTAAGTCGGATATGCTTTAACATTTTACCGATAGCTTGGTAACTATTACTAATTTATATGATCATTTTATTCATGAAACATCCGTTAGAGATATCTCTGACATTTCGCAGGCATGTAAAATCATTCTAGAGACTTCATATCCAAGCACTAAAATTTTTCTACATATGAAACCAAAGGGATTACACGTTATAACATCGTCATATTAACTTTTCGTGTGCGATTAATTTGAAACAGTAGTATTTAGTTTAATAATTAAAGATCCATTTAATACGTCCATGACAACTTTTATTTTTGTTTTTAGGACAAATTTGGGAGAGTGATAATGTTTAAGAATTTTATGTTCTACGGGCAGTAATAGAAGAATACAATAGCAATTACTAAATTTTCAATAAAGCTGGAAATAATGTATCTTATGAAGGCTTATCTGGAATCTTAATTATTTATATGTAGTACTTAGCGAATCTAAAATATAGCCGTGTATAATTTTTTCAGTTCATTTTCAAGCCAGCGACTCTATAAACATACCAGTAGGCATATTGTCACACGCCACTAGTGACAAAGTAGTCTACACACGCCAATCCTTGCGGAGAACGCCACTTACTGACTTATAGAGGCGAGATTAGCTATATCACCAAATAATTCAGTTCCAACGACCGAATACTGTGGTATAATTATAGCGTCACAGATAGTGTAGACGAGGTAGTCAGAGATTTACTACCATTTATTACTGAAGAAATCTTGGCACCCAAGATTATAGTCTTTACAATTTAATAGCAATTGATAAACTAGTTGACTATCTAACCGACTAACTAATTAAAAAGGGATGTATGAGAAGACTAATCAATCCATTAATTAAAGGAAAAGGAGTGATGATAATAAAGTCTAACAGACGCTATGAGTCTATAACTCTTTCACTTACGCGTATATTTACGTATAAAATAATATATTAACATAATACTAGTATACAATCAATAGAATTTTAATTTTAACCATGACGTAGTTGTTGTCATATTCTTCTTGGAAAATATGCATGATTGCAAAAAAATAAATAGCGGTTCTTATAGCTCATTAATGTCCCTTTGATACTGATGGAGCTTTCGTAATTTTTATACCAGTCTATCAGATCGCATAAATGAATGGTTCCAGAAAGCGTTTACAACGCGTTCAATCATTAGTATTTTTTCTAGTATCTTAGAACTCCATCATAACGTGTAGAATAAAGTACACTGTTTCATGTAAGAAAAATAAATTCCCTCCCTCTCCCGAAAATGATATTTTAATTTTGTATTGTGGACTTATAGTCCTATATACCGCAAATAGTTAAGACTAATCTTTACGCAAGATTTAGACAATAATAATTGCACATAATTAAAAGATGTTGCGAATTGCATCGTGCAGAATAAAAGATATTGTTTTATGCAGGATATACAAATTTCAATAGTATGCTATTATCCCGTATGTAACAAACAGAGCAATTAAAAGATGTTACTAATTAAACCTACCAAAGTTTCTTACAGAAGAAATAAATTTTAACCATGAGTTATGATCTCGCATATAACAAACAGAGTTATTAAACGATGTAACAAATTTTACATCCACCTCCATTTTATGCTAGATAAACAAATTTTAATGATATGTTAAGGCTCTATGCGCTATTGACAATTATTAGGCAATCCTTGCGTAAGATTTGAACATTAGTAATTAAAAGATGCTTTTATCTCTCAGATTTACTCTTCATCTTATTCTATATTTTAAAATTTATAGCCGATACGCAACGTATTTACATCAATTTCATGCGGATAAGAGTGATTTTGAGGAAACAGCATTGCGTCACATGATCAATATTGCTGATGTAGTTTTGAAATTAGAAGGGTCAAAAAAGTGAATTGAACTCTAGCTTGGATTTGTATCTGAATAAAATATACTCTTCAGCATTTATTAATCTTGGATTATCATCATTTGGTAAACAGAGACCTTGAGAGTTATATTTTACAAGTTTTCATTGTTTTATAATTTCTCTAATGAACTACTACTCAAATCATGGCTAGTTCAAAACAAGAAAGAGCTAAGTAATGTTATGAAGGGCATAACTCTGCCACATCAATGAAATCTTCAGCTTTGACTTGTTACTTTCTGATAAATACATACTTTTGCAACGGTGTGCTAAGCTATCCATTAAAGAATGACTTTCATTGAAAATCAAATGCGGTAGTTGATTCATGAATATTAAGCGTAGTGTAAAAGCTATCCTGTTCGAAATTACTATGATTGAATCCTTTCTGGTCCATAGACCGCATATTGGAGAGAAGGATGACTGGCAATTAACACCTTATTAGCCATCACACCAAACTGCTAGTTATGGCAATATCGACTGAAATGCGCCATTGAAGTAGATTGATGGGCATAATTCTTTTGCAAAATGGGTGTTGACTTTATTGAACATAACTCTTCCGTGTCATCAGTATGCTAGCAAGAGATTCTATTAATTAATTAGCAGTTTATTGCAATTGCAATTAGTTCTGAATTTTGTACTAAACTACTGTGACTAGCTACAAGTTACTTTCAAGTGGATCGATACTGAGCAATTCTACCACAGAATGCCTTTTACTTTTATTCAATAGGATTCTTGCTCGTATCCAGCTAAATAACAAATGATCGGACTAGTGGCTATATGCAGTTTCGTCGAATAACGACTAATTTGGTGAATTTTATATTCCGTTCTTATCAGACTATTTGATCGATTTGTTTTCATCAATGCTCTTTATTTTCATTCTGCGTTGTTTACGAATAATATATCCAGGTGATATATTAACGTAGCGATCCGAAAGATCGCAGTTATAGAGTTACGTAGCACCATCATAAAATTTTCGTTAATGCTTTTCGACTTTACTGCCTTTTATTTCATTCCATTATATTGGCTTTAACAGTCTACAGTAATTCTAAGCTAGCATGTCTAATCATAATAACGCTGTATCGGCTCTCTCATCTTCGACATCACTCTCCCTCCTACACCCACAACTACCCAAGGTGGAAAATAATTTATTCACTCTGATTTTATTAACACCTTGATATACGGTATCAATATTTATTGATCATTTAAAATTTCTAATGCGGAGAAAATTAAATTTTTTGCAAGGTATCATTCTCCTGCATCTTGTGCATTTTCTTTTATTCATTACTGTACTGGCATAGTGATAACGATAAAACTAGCAGCATCCACTAAGAAAGATCAGGAAGACCAATATTGCATATTATCCAAATCATCCTTTGCAAGCATCATTTCCTCACCTGCACGTTATGGAGTAGTGCAAACGATCAAGCTTCTTGCACATTCTATATTAGCGTAGCAATATTTGCTCATCCTAATCACCAGGAGAAAGGACAGACCGAGAGCAACACGATATGCCTTGAGCATAGGAAATATAGCTCGACACTTTTATGTTTTTATTCGCACCTATTACCTTCGAGTAGATTATGCAATAAACAAAGCGGTTTATATATTGTATATCTCGAGAGGATAGTGACAAGCTCTTAAATCTCTGCAGCCAGCGAGAAAAGTTCCAAGTAACATTATCCAACCCATAGCAGACAGTCAATCAATTTATTGGTGACGATGGATTTGAAATTAGTCATAAAGTTGAACATATTTTCCATCTTTGCCTTGCTTGCCATCAATGTAGTCTACAGTGCTCATCTCGATGATTTCGAATGCTATAATCCAGGTACCCGAGGTTCGGATTATTTCGGCCACAAAAACGTAACACGAAATGGCAATCGTTGCTACCGTTGGTCGCAATTAATAATTTTACCTTACGGTGTTCAACCGTATAAGCATAATTTCTGTCGAAATGATAATCATCGCTATGGTGGACCATGGTGTTTCATTAATGAGCATATCTGGGATTACTGCGACATACCCAGTTGTTTGTTTATCCACGGTATAAATATATAAAATGATAAGTATTGCTTGCTATTACTAATAGCCTTTATACAAATTGAGCTTATTAGAATCATTTTTTAATTGCTCTGTAATTTCTTCCCCAAGTCCACTAGCTTTTGCATTTCAAGTAGAGCGTTCTATGATGATTTTACATTGTGGCCGTAGTTTTATTATAGCGGAGTTTCATCAGACTGCTAGGAGTTGGAACTATCCTAGTAATGATAAATCAATATCTCTTTTAATCCAGAAAAGATATACATTATCCTATTAATGATAACCTAATATCTCTCTTTTAATCCGGAAAACATTTATCCTTCTAATGCTAACCTGATGTCTTTCTCTTTCAATCTAGAAAAGAGGAATCGATATCCAGCTACCTTGCCTAAATTGCCTCTCCTGTATAATAAACCTCAAATTTTAGTTAAAACGAAAGCATTAATTATCACGGAGACCATTGCTCGCACAACTACTACAACCAAAACAGTGACTGAAACGAAATTAATGTCAAGTGCGGTGCCACGAATTGAAACGACAACTATTATTTCCACGGTTGTTCAGCCAACGCCAGTTCCGTCAATTCCAACTTCAATCCAAGTGATCACCATTACTCCATCTGATGTTCCTCCTGTTATTTTACGAACTACCATTGTTTCTCCAATTTCCACGACAATTACTTCAACGCACACTGCCTTCATGAATGTAACTGTGACCAAATTTTTAAGCACGGAGCCTTTGACTACGGTAACTGAATATCAAACTGTCACTTTACTTCATAACGAATATGAACCAGGCTTTGGGGAACGAAGTCAAATCGATTACTAGAGTCAAGGTTTTGTCATCTGCGTCATAGAATAAAAATGAACAATCAAATCGATTGAACGAAGAATAAAAGATTGGAAATGTGCAATTCCTCTTTCTGATGAAATTTCTTCATTAATTGTGAAAATAAAAACGATAAATGGCATAGTATTCGTTAGATGATCATGTCAAAGCGCCAATAAGATCATTCTTGAATAATTTTTATTCGGTAGAATTGCTACTTTGACAAAATAATTGAACGTAGCCATTTTATAGCCTAGAATCAATTATCTTAATAAACATGGCCATGATGTGCAACAATTTCATAAATTGAAGTTCTGTTTTTATAAGAGGCAAAAAATATTAGCTTGAGATAGAGGAAGATTACTCCACCTGAAATGAAAACGTAAAGTCATAAGTGGACGCTAGCAGAGCCCGTGATTGAAGTTGTTATGTGAGGCAAAAGTGAATAGCGTGAGGTAGAATTTGCTACATTTGAAATAAAATTCGTTCAATTCTTGCTGTATCAGCATTACATTTTGCCATTCATTATGTTCATTCGTCTACTAGCATTTAGAAGTTTTAGCTCTTTAGCAAGGTCAAATAAATCGAAGCTATATTGTGCAAATTACTATTTTATAGACTTAAGTGGTTGTACAATTGAACATCAAAATCCCTTGAAATGCTTATTAGACATGTATATTCTAACTGAATGTAAATCTCGGGCGTTTGGTCATGGTGGCAGTATTGACATTGAGAACGATTAGCGATATCAACTTCTGAGAGTACACTCGATCACTGCATTATCCACACAACCTGCGCCAATTAAATAGCCATCAACATTGCTTGCATGGTCAAAGCATTGATAGTAATCTACTGTGGCAAACAATTTTTCTGCTATTAAATCAATTTGTCATGATTAGTCATGATTATACATCGGTATTTAGTGGAGCGCTAAATGCTGGGCAGTAGAGACTGACATCAGTGCTAATTATAATTATTCCGCCCATGCCTGAGCCTACTGTTGACCCCGAAAATTATAGAGTTAGTGCGAATATTAAACCTAAATCATTAAAATAAATGACAGTTATATCTAATATGGTTTCTATCCAATCTCCGAAAGAAAAGCAAATACATTCGCACGAAAGGATTACAAATTTGGCATTACGTTTAACAGATGTAAATCTAAGTCGTGCCTATTGAGCAAATATGGAAGCAATGACATATACAGCCGATTCTTGTAAGTCCATAGTGGGAGTAAATCCATAAATGGAAAACTTCTAAAGTAATTACTCCATATCCATATTTCTCTATTCACCATGATCGCGTTAGCCTATCCTGATTATCTTAAAGATGCATTAGCCAATCTATTTTTGCCAGTTATGATGTGGCTTTATTTAAACTCCATTTTTATCAGGAACTTACATCTACCTTCATCCTACATTTTAAAGTAAATTTCTATTCTGAATTGCACTCGCTTGCCGTATCAAATTACTTTTGATAATCGCTAACCCGGAACCCTGTGATCTATAATAGATCATAGTGATGAACGATACGTTGACAATGGATTACCTGCAGCTTTAGGATGTCCATTTTCTTTATGGTATCTTTCGCCATTTTTACATTCTAACTTGCAAATATGGTTACAAAGTATTTGAATTCATTCCTGAATATCTATTATTTATAGCACTCTCTTGGAGCTCGATCATAATTTTATAACGGTCACAGATGGCGGTAGTTTTTGATCTGAAAATGTCTAAATTGAGAGAAATTAGTTTGCAATCATTGCAATGCTGCTGCTTTTGATTGTGATCTTCCGCAAACTGCAAGCTAACATGTTGACAAGACAAAGCAGATTCGCTTAAATGACCCAGCTACAGTCTGGTGATTGACCATTCTATTCGGTAATGAATATATGCCTGCATCTATTTTAACGCTTAGCGCATTCTCTGCAATAATACTGTACTGTATATACTTTCATAACATAGTTAATTAATAAAATCAACTGCAATGGTTTTGCTTCGTATTCCAGCACTTGAAAGTTTATAATTTTGATATTGATAGCCTTAAAATATACACGTAGAATAGTTATAGTTTCTGATTTTAGATTGACGTATATTTTTTAGAGAGTAATTTTATTTGGCTTATTTCTTTATCCAGAGGATTCTGACAAGCTTATATTAAAGGTAATTCTTAAATTTCATATTTCATATTTCTAAGAGGATTTCTGCTTAAATATACGATAATATTAGACTACATGAACTTCATTTATCAACTTTATACTTGAAGCACAAGATTAGGCATAGCATAGACTGCACAAATAGACAGTGTCAATAGGCTAAATTGTGACATACGAGTTTGCATACAATTTTTAAAACTTACGAATTTACTAATTGCCAACACTTGAGAAATAGATCAGCCTTACAGCATGTAATGCATAATTATTATTACGTAATTTATTCCAATGCTAATCAACTTATTTAATAATTAATCTTTATGGCTATTACAATATGGGCATTTATTTGTGATACTTCTACGATACACTGCATATCCTATCATGGCTTATCAGTATCCAAGAGTTATTGTTCATTTTGCAAATATCCGCATCGAAGCAATCAAATAAAAGAAAATTGACATCCATCAAACAAAGATTACTGAACGATCACTATTTGTCATCTTTCTTTTTCTTTGATTTTTCGTCAGTGTTTTCACATCTATGATTTAAGCAATCATATAAGCATATTTAAATTGAAATCATTAAATGAGGTTACCAACCTTTTTTCGCCGTTTGTTCTTGCCTTTGATGAACGTCTTGTTCTACACGGCTTTGCCTTGGTTGAATCAATTTCGTATTGTATACGATTTTTACCGGTTTTCTTGTCGCCAGTAATCAACTGGCATCCATTTCGAAAGGTTACATTACCGTTTAGTCCTATAGCAAAAAATAATGATTTGCTAAATAGCTTTATTATTGTAATTTAGGTTTCACTTGCACAAATGGTACGAATACAACTCGTACTTCTCTTTCGATTTTGAGTTTTTAATTTTATATTAACTCTGATAGATAGTCTTACCAGTATGATTCGATGACTGAGCATTTTCTTGCGAATGTGTACCTGGATCCGTACTATTAGCATCTGCTATATCCATTGGAGAATAGGAAATGTTGTTCCTCGTTAATAAAAGACCATGTTGTGCACGATTCTGTTGCCAAGATGCGTTACTGACCGCATTCATTACTTGCGATGAGCCAGAATTATCTGTCGGAAACGCTGGCAATGGATGATCACTTTGTCTCGAACAGGCTATTTCTGTGGCCAATTGGCAGAAATTTTTGCATTTGTTTGTACGCAAGAGTGGATTTCTTAGCCATATTGGAATACTTTGAGGGTGATGTTGCACTTCATCTTTTTGACTGGTAGTATTAGCGTCCGATGCATCTGAATTATAGCTGATACGAGCTGAATTATCTCTTTCTAAGGTAGCTTTCTGCGATAAAGATTCATTCCTGCTTTCCTTTGATAAATTAGACGCATACTTGGATACCTTATTACTAGATACAGAGCTTGACGTAGAATCGGCAATGTCTATTATTTGCCTTTTACGGCTTTTGGGCAGAGTAAAATTAACAGTACTGTTGCTTGAAGATATGAAATAAATGTCGTCTTCAAGGCTACTATTTTGGCGACCATTAAGGTTAACTTTAGTCGAATTGGAATGATTGAGCGATGCAGATATCTTTAGAGCATCATTCTTGGCACTCTGACCTGAAGATATTAAATAAATGTCGTCATCAAGACTAACGTTTGGGTCATGATTTTCATTTGTTTTAGTAGAATTAGAATAATTTAGCGTTGCAGAGATGTAAGTGTCGTTTCCTTCGTCGTATGACGATCGGTTAGAACCGTGACAGGAACAGTAGCAATTTGGATTCCTTTTCTTGAAGTTATCCTCATTCGATAATGGATTTGATTTGCTATAGCCATGCCTTGCAGATTCATTTTGGTAAGAATAGCCATTAACCGATTCCTGATTTATTCCAGGGTGATCTTTTTTCCTACTTGACTGTGCCCTACCCGAATAAAGGCCACATTTTGGCATAAGAGCTTGTGATCTGCTGAATTTTCCATTAGGGGTTGAATGCCTATTCTCAGGTCTAGATGATTCGCGGTAAAGATTATTGCCACGGTTATCCAATCTACTTTGATGCCGATGTAAAGTAGAATTATCAACACAAGAATCCAGTAGTGGATGAGTTGGCTGATTGCTATGCAAAGAATGATCTAGATTTCGATCACTTGTGGAAGGAATTAGCAAACCTTCATTTGAGTAGGTCATTAAATAACCGTTACTGTTTTCACTGATGGCATGATTTTGATCAAGACTAGAAAGATCATCATGAGACTCTGACATTGGATGGGTTAACTGCTTGTTATGCCATGAATAATCAAGATTCTGCTCGCTTATTGAAGAAACTGGCAACTGTTTACTCGAATTGGTCAATAAATGACGATTCTTAGTTTCAACTTGATTTTGATCAATACTAGAATTGCTAGCGTGGGAATCCAATAGCGGATGAGTTATCTGCTTGCTGTGCAAAGAATAATCAAGATTCTGCTCACTTACGGAAGGAAGTAAATCTTGATTTGAATTATTTATTAAATAACGATTCGAATTCTCAACGAAAATTTGATTTTGATCATTACAAGAACTATTGCCACGGGAATCCAATAATGGCTGAGTTATCTGCTTACCAACCAAAGCATGTTCAAGATTCAACCTACTTTCTGAAGGAAGTAAATCTTTATTTGTATTAATTATTAAATAACGGTTTTCATCAATAACTTGATTTTGATCAACACTGGAACCATCATCATGAGAATCCAATAACGGATGAGTAATTTGCTTGCCATAAAAAGGAAGATCAAAATTTTGCCCATTTTTGGGAGTCAGTAAATCTCCATTCGAATTGGTCATCGCATAACGGTTTTCATTACTAACTTGGTTTTGATCCATACCAGAAGTATCATCATGGGAATCTAATAATGGATGAGTTATCTGCTTGTTGTGCATTAAGTGATCAAGATTTTGCTTACTTACTGAAGGAACTAAATTTTCATTTGAATGAATCATTAAATAACGATTTCCATTCTTAACCTGATTTTGATCAATGCCAGAATGATCATCATGAGAATCCAGTGAATGAGTTAGCTGCTTGCCGTGCGAGTAATGATCAAGATTCTGCCTATTTGCTGATGCCAGTAAATTTTCATTTAAACTGGTCATTAAATGGTGATTTTCATTAGTTAACGGTCCATTAATGACCTGATTTTGATCGACAGTAGAATGGACATCATCAGAATCTAATGGACGAGTTGGTTGCTCGCTGTGCCAAGAATGATCATAATTCTGCCCATTTGCTGATGGAAGTAAATCTTCTTCTGCATGCGTCATTAAATAACAGTTTTCATCAGCCTGATTTTGATCAAAGCTAGAATAAGTAATATGGGAATTCACTGGGTGATTTAGTTGCTTGTCGTGCAAGGAATGCTCAAGATTCTGCCTATCTGTTGAAGAAAGTAGTAAATCTTCGCCTAAACTAGATGCTAAGTAACGAATTTCACTAATAACTGGATTTTGATCAACGTCATCGCTATCTATTTGAGAATTGCATCTTTTCCGCCTTACATATTGCGACTGCTGACAGCTTGAAGGACTCCATTGATCCTTGAATTTTGGAGAAATGACTGGATTTTTCGTAGCATTCTTGCTGTTATTTTTAATCACTTGAATTTCATCAGTAGCAAGTCCTACATCTTTCGGCGAAGAATTGCTATTGGAGACAATACTGAGTAAATTATCTAAATTTTCATCATAGTTTTGAGCATGACTATCCAGAAAATTGAAGATTTCATCGTTCCGTGGGCAATTGCTATTGGGAATAATTTCGTGTAACTTGTCTAAATTATCATCGCATGTTTTATCATGGCAATCTGGGAAACCGAAGATTTCATCGTTGTGTGAACAATTGCTATTAGCGATACTATTCTCTAGCTTGTCTAAATTTTCATCGCATGTTTGAACATCGCATTCCGCGAAATTGAAGATTTCATCGCTACAGTTTAATTTTAATTCATTTTCCATCGAGCTAGTCTGGTATTCAGAATGGTGTCCTAGTTCAAAAGATGTTAAATCAAATTGCTGAGTAGTAGAAATAGATGATTCATCTTCAGTAGGACTTGAATTAGAAGGACAATCTCCTGATTTACATTGGAAGCCAGCAGATATTGTTTTACTGCTATCATTCGTAATTTTATCATCAGTAGAAATGGATCTCATCTACAGATAAAGAAATAAAAAGGAGTAAAATTACGAATTATTCTCTTCAGTAAGCTGCCATGAGTACGTCCTTCTACTAACTAAATCGAGATGAAGTGAAGGATAATTTATCGAATAATTTCACCGATAAGAATTATCAATGATGTAAGTACTTGGATGATAATTAATAACGAGTAGAAATATATCAAATGAACATAGACTTTCGATAAAATTTTTCTTTCATTATTCAAACTGTCATTAGGTTCTGAAATTTCAATGTATGCCCTAACGATTATACTTACTGCGGAAGATAATCAACTTCTGTTTCGGTAAGTTAATCCTATTTAAATGATCATTTATCGGAATTCTGCTACGTCAGAGCTTTCTCTTACTGTAATGCCAATTTTTAGTTCAATATTATACTGTTAACCGATAGCTGCCTTTCTTTTTTCATAGGATTGCCGTTAAACTCTCATCTAGCGTATAGATAAATGAGGAATCAGGTCTGCTCGCGCAAGATTCTTGGGGAAGTCACTTCAGTCCTGTATTTAATATTCACGTACGTTTTTAGCCAGGCGATGCTGCATGGCTACAAGTATTTTGGGCGATATCCATATATAGGATTTAGAATCAAATGGATTAGAGTTACGTTGATGAATAAACAGAATAGTTAGTATAAGAGGATAGATTGAAAACGTAGCAAAATTAATCGTGTACGCTCTACTTAGCTAGCTTTTCATGTTAAAGTTAATTCTATATTAATAAAATCGAAGCTGATTTTAATCAACTGTTCAACTTGTAGCCAAGGTATCACATCATAACAATATATCTATCGTATCTGCTTTCTTAAAATTGGCACTGTATTAATTTAGATGATAATAATTATAAATTAAATGACCTTTTCATGCCTCATGCTTATAGTGAATTTTTTTATGATACTGCATGAAAATTGGAATTTAAATAATACTGGTTGATGGTGTTATTGCATAGATGATTTTTTTAATATTCATATTTATCTTGTGGTGATAGTAATTAGTTTCATTTACTGTGATTGGCTCTAGCTATTACGTGAGAATAGTAATACTTCCTTGGAGATATAGTCTAAATCAAATTTGCAACTGTTCATATTTATCTTCTAGTGATAGTAAATAATTTCATTTGCTGTGATTTACTCTAGCTATTAAGCGTGGATAGTAATACTTCTTTTGACGCGTAGTTAAGGGAAGAGATTCTCTGCAATCACGTCTCAATAAATGTGACGTTCAAATTAGAGGCATTGCTAATAATTAATGTTGATGTCAAGAGATCGAGTTAAATCATGAAATTCGTTGATCGATTTCTAACTAAAAGGAATGTCGCTAGTAAATGCGGTAAGCAGTCATTAACCTACTTAATAATGGTAATGTCGATTTTTAACAGTTGGACATCACCCGCACTTCAAGTTTACTATTTAGTCAAGATTGGCCATTCAAATTTTTCATTGATAGTTTTTATATTGTAACTCTAGATGTTCACATCATCTTGTCGTCGCTGATAGGCCGGCTGTTGAAGAAAATTTAGATTAGTATTAAGCTCAGATTTATTATAAGAAAACTTAGATTCATGATTGATTGAAAACTTCGATTCATTGAAGAAAACTTAGATTAGTATTAAGCTCAGATTTATTCATGAGACTATTAGATCAAACTGAAAGTAATCAGTGAAGATTAATAATAATTTCTATATCTTTTGGAAATGTACTTTCTTTTTGAGACCATATTTTAACTATTGATAAATCATGGTTTAGTTATTGCTAAGAACGTTAACAAATTATAACCGATATTTCAAGAAATAAAGTAGTCCGGAAGTCATTGGCTTATAAATTAAGTTTCATTAAATAAATTGCATTAAAAAGTAAGGACTTGATAAGTGCAATAGACAAAAGTATGATATTTAATGCTAAAAATATAAATTTCCTTAAGAAAGCGGTTCTGGATCCAGTATCATATTATAGATTTTATAGTTTCTCGCTTTCAGTTTCAATTTAATTACAGACACAGCTAAACTATGCATAAAAAAGATAATCATTCCATTTAAAATCGATTAGTAGACAGAAAAAGGAAGACGTTCGCCAGTTAGACCAGCTTCTAAGTTGTAGAATGTCCGCATAATCATTTCAGTCCTAGTATCAGTTGTTGCACTTCCAATGTGTGGAAAGATTACTAAAGAAAAATTTTAATAAGTAGAAATGGTCGTCTGAATTAATATAATCGAGCAACATCTTATTAACATGTAAATTAAAGCAATACGACTGCAACAAATTTACCACAATTTTTAAGCCCCATTAACGGGTGATCAGTAGGAATCGGTTCTGGAGTAGTGACATCTAGTCCAGCAGCCTAATTTTTTCATGTATATTTTCAAAATAAACAGAAGGTAGTTTTAATGGACAAAGATCCAATCAATGCTGACAATGTCATGCAGCACGAGTATACTTTGAGATCTCGAATTTAGTATGGTCTCAATATTGTTATCCAATAACAAAGTGAAATGAACCTGAATTTGTCCGGTGGTTAGAGCAGCATACAAATCATCTTGGTTGACGACTGGTCCTCTTCAATTATTCAACAACACGATATACATAATGTTATTGTTACAATTTCTGATTGAAAGAATTTAATTATTACTTTCACTACTTTCTTAACGTTAATAATGATCAGTAAATGATCTATGCAGCCACTACTTTATGTGATTTGTATAGTCTTTGTGATTTAAATTATTACGATGTTTGCTTACACATTTATGCTCGTATAGTATGACCTTAAAGCAGAGTATGCATAAAGTGCACTGCTGTATCACGCTGCGGATTGCCAAATGTAAATAATATCAAGCAACAGACACAAGTAGTGACACCAAGCGTATAGCGCGTTACATACCTGCTAATGTTTATCATAATTGCATTCTTTTTCATTTGGGAGAAGGCAGCTTGATCAAAAAGACCTAGAGCAAACAACAGTAAAATTATGGTAACTACCTTTTATCTCTTCAGTTAGCTGCTAATTTTTTATTTGAGATTTTGGAATTTTGCATCAAGGATCTAACTCCGATCATTGATCAATATCATAAGACGACAAGTCTAGATAGCATACTTTTCGTTTGCGGTGTCAGGGCACAGCAGATGATTACGATATCAGATTGTTGTAGTAATGAAGTAAAGTCGACTGGCCATTAGCAGATGATATCCATTTAAATCATTTGATAAAAATACAAATTAAGCGATAAACATATATGTGGTTTACAATATTATTCATTCTATACGCCTACCATACCGAAAGTGCCATTAAATTTAGCCGCTACAATGAAAGCAGAATACCATCACATTAGGCTACGCAATAGCAGATATCACATATACATTGAACCATAATCGATCTTCGTAATATTCAATGAAATAATATACCTTCTGACTTTTCGGAATGCCCACTGTAGATTATTCGGCCGACACCAAATGGAATTAAACGTTCCACGACAGCCAAGCCTACGATGTAGTTATCACGGAATTGAGCTACAACTATTTATAGTTATTTCATTGAATTCTATTGACGAATCATTCGATACCAAGAAAGAAACGGTAATTAAGCCATGACACACTTTTGACCACTTACCTATCTTTCCCAAGCCAACAATTCCAACAGTCCTTCCATTTAGTTGAGTACCACATAACCACATCATATTAAATGGTCCCCATACTCCACTACAAGATATAATAATAGGAATATTAATTACTGTCACAAAATGTATTCAAAACAGACACGATCGCAGATTTAAGTTCTATTTATTAATTTCACTGATAATTGCGTGAGAGAACTCAATCATATCATTATC